CCTATCTCAACATTTCTTCGTATTGTGTTTTGTTTGGTGATCAATGACTCAAGCACGATTTGTATAACACAAAAATGCAATTTAATATTTAGAAACATATCAGTTTATCTCACATTTCCGTTGCCTATCTCAACATTTCTTCGTATTGTGTTTTGTTTGGTGATCAATGACTCAAGTACGATTTGTATATCACAAAAATGCAATTTAATATGTAGAAATCACTATAATTGACCATTCCTATGTTATTCATTGAGTAGCTAGGTACTGTAATAATCTACTAATAGCAGTAATATCATGGATACACTAGATGTACAACAACATCTGAAAAAGATTCACCCCAGTCTAGAAAATAATGTTTATGCAGCTAATAGACTGCCTATGTATACCCACGTACCAACGTATATAATATGTAATTTGGATACAGATGATAAACCAGGGTCACATTGGGTAGCTTTATATATCGATACGAATGACGTCGGTCAATATTTTGATTCATATGGACGATCACCTGTACGATATCATCTAGAGTTTTTAAAAAGGAATTGTAAAAGATGGAACTGGAATGTTGATAGGATTCAGAATGAGTGGACTTCAGTTTGTGGCGAATATTGCTTAATGTATTTACTATATAAGTTTCAAGGATGTTCAATACATAGTTTTACGAGTATATTTACAAGGAACACATTGTACAACGATATTTTAGTGGATGAGATGTTTCGCTCCTATTTTATAGATAATAATTAATAAGATTTTGTATTTTATAAATAAAAATTGTAACAAAATTATGTAATGTGTTTTATTGATGATTCAGATTAGCGTTGTATAAACAAAGAACTATAACACAATAGCACTGATATAGTCGACGCACACGCTGCAATGAAGGTGATTAATGAACAATAGAACAATAGAAATAGGAACAATGGGACGCTAATGACGGTGGAGGCCCTTACCGGATATCAATTAGATATTAGCTAATTGATCTACACATCTCTGGAACCGTGCATTCTACACAAAAATGGACCGCGGATTCGTGATCAGAGCATGCCAAAACCTTTTTTTTTTTTTTTTTTTTTTAATTCCCACAGAGAGAACTTGCAGCCCATCCTTCATTAGAATCCAAGTATTTTTCATGCCAGTAAAAACAAGGGACATTATCTTCTTCGTTGTCTCATTCTGGTGAGGAATTCTTTTTCTTCTTTTTCTAAGCCAATTCGGGTTTCTTATTCTTTTTTTGGTCTTTTACCTCTCTTTTTTTCTTTTTCTTATTTTCTGCCAGTTTCTTTTTTTTTTAATTGTTTCTTCTAACTCGTTTTTATACGGGGAAGAAGTTATGATAGCCGTTTTTCGTCGTTTCCTTGTCACCCGTGAAATTTTGCGAGTTACAGGATAAGGCATCACTTGCTGAGGACTAACAACAGAAAATACTAGTAGTTTAAATAGTAGTAGTTGGCCTTTGATCTATTTCAATATTGGTAATACAAGTGAAGCATCCTGGCTCAGGCTCTGCTTCAATCTCAGATGGTGTCATAACAACAGAAATGCGGCATATCAGCAGTTCGTCAATTGCAGGTATTGTTGGAGCTGTTGCTCCGTTGCCCGACGTAGTGGTTTGTGGCAATGCTTCAGTGATGGATATTCTCTCTGTTTGTGGAATATCTGTCGTCAATGATGGAGCAAAATCAGTATCGGAAAAAACTGTTGTATCGTATGGCCAAATCCCACATTTTTTGAAGCCATTTACAGCCGTTGCCATAGTAGAAGCTTGAATAAAGGCTTTACCAAAAATCTCTGCTACTTTCCGGATGGTTACCACCATCCCCGGATGGCTTCGAAGCCAGGCTGTGATTTGTTGGTCGTAGTATGTGCTCAAGGGTTTCACGTATGCTACATCAGCAACTTGAAGTCGATGACCCGTATATGGGGGGAAGCATAATATAATAACCCCGTTTGAACGAGCTTCATTAATGACGTCAAGGTTTTGTGTGTGAGTGCTGTGGCCATCTAACAACAACAGCACAGGTCGATCAACCATTGCTCCACTAAATTCAACAAACTTCTTAAACCAGCCAAGGAATAATTCAGCTGTCATCCAGCCAGAATCGCTACACACACCCCAAGATCCAGGCGCAACATTCAGCATTAGCTGAGGATCCATCCTCTTTCTTGGGTATACCATCATTGGAGGCATGTATTGGCCGCTAGCACTAAAACAGAAGTTATGGATCCCACTTGTTTTCTACCTTTTCGTGCAATTATTTTTGACTTGGTTTTAAGTACCAGGGAAACTTCTGTTCCATCACAATTATATATTCTGTCCGACGAAAGTGTGTGCTCATCATAAACGTTGCCGAGGAAGTTGAAAAACTGTTCAACAGCTTGTTTATTAAACCCAGTGGCACGTGCAGCTGAAGTGTTTTCTGGTTTTCATATCGACAATTCTGGATGCCTGCTTAAAAATCCCTGAACCCAATCTTTGCCAGCTTCTTTTTTTTCAGAGTTAAAGAAATGTTGCTGCCTATTTTTTACTGCAAAAGTGTATGCCAAAGCCCTTAAATCTTTTGTTGTAAGTCCGTAAAGACGACTCTCCATATCCATTATATAATTGCAAAGTTCTTTCTCTTCATTATCAGAAAATGTTCGCGTTTTTGGGCCTAAAGGAACTTTCACCGAAGTTCTAGGAGCAGCAGGATCTTCTAGGGCTCCACGAGCTTTTTTAACTTTTCTTTCGAGGGTCGTTTGTGGCACAAAATATGTTTTCGCCGCTAATTTGTACCCCATTTTTCCTTCAATTACAATACAATCAATACATCTACTGCATTTTTCATACTTTGTTCACTCCAATTCCCTCTCTCTTTCTTTCTTTTATAATTTTTCACCATCCTAAAAGGATCATAAAGTGCCATAGAGAAATCATAATTTTCTTCGAGGGGCAAGATGGGGTGCCCCACACGCTCATTTGAATAAAATAATATGCCTTCAAAAATTAAATCGAAATATGGGAACAAACATGTCCTTACCTGCTGGTGTAATCATTGATAAACAAGTATAACTTTCAATCAGTTCTAGACAACTAATGTAGAGGTACAGAACACATGCGATGTATAAGACGAAAATCACTACGAATTTGACATAAACTGAGTTTTTGGTGGTAGGGAAATAACACATGGACTCACAAGCCGGTCACAGCGCTGATTGATAAACAATATAATAACGCGTCATTACGCTCCAGAGCGGCTGTGATTGGTCGTTCATACGACCGATGAGACTCTTGCCCGCTACTCATCTTGCCCCCCTTTCCCCTACTAGAGAAGCCATTCCAAACAAAAATTGTGCGCTACTCTATGTCTTCGCGCATGCGCGGGAGATAGTAGAGTCGCGCATGTGGGAAGCTTTAATTTAATATAAAATAAGATACTAATATCAAATATATATATATATATATATATATATATATATATATATATATATATATATATATAAGAATTTCATATACAATGCTCTTATTTTTATTTAAGCAAACATATTTCTAAATAAAATGTAATAATAAATATCTTATACAAAATCTAAATACAGATCTTCAATTTACTCAATATGTAGTTTAGTGTACAGATTGCAGTACAGTTCAGTTGAACATAGTCAATTTTCGGAATGCGAAATTTAATTTCTTTAAAAACCAACATCAGGCTAAAATTTAAATTTGGAACCTTTTTTTTGGGCCAGTAACATGTTCAAATGATTAAAAACTTTTTCGTTTGCGGGCATGAAAAAATCAAACCCGCCCGTTTTTCACAAATGAGCTTATATTGACACGCGAAAAAAAACACGCCCGACTAAATCTAGTCCAGTTCAATCCCCAGAAGACACAAGGTAAAAAGAACCCCTTTGTCGTATCTCCTCAGTTTCAAGGCACTCCCCCTGCTGCTTCAGCTAGCATCGGAATCCTCGGCGTCGACATATCGAATAGTGTGCAGTTTCGTGGTTACTTGGAAGGGAAGGCCAAATTGGCCTCTAAAAAGATTGGCGTGTTCAACAGAGCGAGACTTTCATGCTGGCACATCGCTTGCAACTTTACAAAGCGCAAGTTCGGCCTCACATGGAATACTGTTCTCATCTTTGGGCCGGGGCACCCCAGTGCCAGCTCCTTCCACTTGACCGCATCCAGCGCAGAGCGGTTCGAATCGTCGACGACCGAGATCTTTCTGATCGGCTCGATACACTGGCGCTGCGTAGAGATGTTGCATCTCTTTGCGTATTTATCGCATCTATCACGGGTAATGCTGCGAGGAATTGTTCGGACTAATTCCAGCCGCTCAATTTCATCATCACACATCGCGACAAAACTCGCAATACCATCCATACCATCTGGATGATTGGCAGTCTACCACTCTGCGATTTAGAAGAAGTTTTCTCCCTCGTACAACTTCTTTGTGGAATCAATTACCATCAGCGATTTTTCCGAACCGATACGACTTAGGGACCTTCAAGAAAAGAGCCTACTCCTTTTTAAAAGACCGGCATCGCATCTGCAATTCCCCTAGTTCCCCTGGTGTTGCGGTTGTTCATGGGCGGCGGTAGTCACTTACCATCAGGTGAGCCGCATGCTCGTTTGCCCCCTCTTCTATAAAAAAAAAACGCAATTGTAATATTAAATTTCAAATTTGTAAATCGGATGAGTATTAAAATGCGCAAAGTCCAAAATATAAATGTGTGTTGGTGATACATTGTATCTTCATATTTACATCTTGTGTGATGAATGTAATCCCTGGCGCAGTGGATGAGTTACGGCGCTGTGGGCCCGAATCCTGCACGGAACAAGTATTTGTCCTAATAATAACTGTTCTGTATGGATGTTTGTCCTTGTACAATTTGTGTATGTAAACTGCCTTCGCAATACAAGAGAAAATCATAATATCTATGTGAGTAACGTTCTTCAAAAAAAAAAAAACTTATGACTTAAAGACAACATTACTATAATGAATGAAGGAACCACATTTACTTACGTGTGACGAAACTATCGACTTTCTACTGTCGGTATTGCTGGGCTGCCTAGAGAACGTCGGCGCGTGTACACTGAGAGGTGAACCAGGCTCGGAGTCCGTCTTTCCTTCATTACTGCTGTTCCCCGCGTCCTTGGTACAATAAAATGTTTTAAGTGACCATTAGTTAACGAATATGCACACTTAGCAATTATTGAAGTTGTTATAAAATTTTTAAAGTTGCCTGCAGGTGTCCATGGACTACAATCAAGTACTTACCATCAAGTGAACTGTATGTTCGTACGTGAATTACTGATAGAAATGAAATCATAAAAAATTACAAGTATTAAGGACTTGCAGCGCAATAGTCGCAAAGCAAATCTAGAGATCAAAAATGTAGGTACCTAGAAACACTAAAGAAAACAAGGATGATGGGGTTGTTATAAACTAATTTGCTCAATTCTTCTTAATAGTTTATAACAAACCCATTATAATGGCTTTCCGCAAAGTAACGCCTGATTCTATCAATACGAGGATGATTTAATAAACATTGTACTGTGTCTATCTAAAAATATAGGCTGCAAAATCATGAAAACTGACATTAAAGATGTATACAGAGTACAAGGTAAAAAAAGAAATCAAGGAAAAAAGTTTTTGTTGAAATGATATCTACTATCCTGGTGACTGAATTCTTGAAGACATGCAAGACCTATAACATAAAACAAAGAAAAACTATGTACCAAACATTTAGGCTTTGCAAAAAAACGAAGATAGCACCATATTCATTTCCGAACAACTGACTGCAAAAGGAGCTCGCTTGTATTTCTTAGCAAGAGAGTTGGCCAAGACGAAGGTTTATGAGTATTGCTGGACCGCATAAGGTAAAGTATGTCAGGAGAGACGATAAGTCACCAATCATTGTAATTAGAAATGAATCTCAAGTACATAATTTGATGCAAGAAATATGACTCATATGTACACCTATGTATATTGTACCCTCTTAAATCATACTTTATTATAATCTTAGTGCATAAAACTGTTAGCATAAATTCATTTTTCACATTATATACACTGAAACAAATACACACAGAGTTTTTAACTGACAACAAACATAATTATACAAACATACTTTATTATATAAAAGCTTTTAGAAAAATTTACTTCGCAAATATCCGCGTTATAAAATAAAATGATGTGTCTTACGTAGTATGAAGAGCACCTCTCGCTCTCCCTCAATTGCGTGCACTATCCCCGTCACCACTAATCCCAGCACCGCTACTCCCAACACCACTACACTAGGCAAGACACACCACTGACGATAATACGACACGTGTTTCGCCTCTACACGAGGCTTCCTCAGGTGATATAGACTCTACGGTGGCTAACTGCTAAGTGAGCGGCGAGCCAAAATAAGTGCCTTTTATACAGACCGCTGACGCAACCGCTCTCTACTTAAGGAGCGAGCGACTGCGTCATGCGATAAAACATGCGACCAATCACTGCCGGACTTATGCAGCCGTTTGTTAAATTAAAAACAAACCGCCGCGCAACGCCCACCCTCCAACCACGCAACCAATCGCCGATCACCGTGAGAGTGACAAACGACCATATTGCGAGGCTCTCTATTGTTAGAGAGCAGGCTTAAAGATATTTAAGAGAGGTGAGTTAGTAACATTTGTTTGTTCATTCAGCAATGCAACGGTACCATTGTTACTTTTTAATATCTCTAACTGTTCCAGCACACACAGCCGCAGCTCTTTATTACATGTATGTAAGACTTTAAAGGAGTGGTCGTTGGCTAGGTTGTGTCCAGTGTCCAAAAGATGTTTGGCAAAATGGGATTTATCGGGATTGCAACCTGTACGCGGCTAAATGCTCTTGAAATTTAAATGCTCTTCATACTAGGTAAGACACATCATTTTATTTTATAACGCGGATATTTGCGAAGTAAATGTTTCTAAATGCTTTTATATAATAGATTTCCACAAAGTAACGCCTGATTCTATTAATTATACTTTATTATAAATTACTTATTTTTTATATACACCTTTTTATTCTTACATTTTTTAAGAAATGCCATAAAAACAATCAATTAGTTAGTTCAGGTAAATATCACATTTCTGTTATAATTAAAAATACATACTTGCAAATTTATACAAATTTTATACGTGGTAGAGCCATACTGCAACTATATTATGGTTTTAGCACGAATGGGTCGGCTCGACCGGGGAGGGACCACGCTCTCACAGAATACCAGTGTCAAATAGCAGCTTAAGGCTGCTGTGTTTCGTATGGTGAGTGTAGAGAACCGGAGACCCTTTTTACTGGAAACGAGGCATTCTATCTTAGTCCTGACGGCTGACAACGCATCTACATTTTAATTCGCAAACGAAGACAGATGTAGATGTCTATGGGCCACAGCAACCACTTACCATCAGGTGGACTGTGTGCTCGTTTGTCACCCTTATCCTATAAAAAAATATATTAAAATATCTAATGCATTATTTGAATGATAAATAATAAACCTAGCAAGCTAACAGCATAGCAAAGTGGCGAAGCAATCAGCTTTGTAGCGGTTTCTAACGGTTGCCGTTGAGCAATCAGTTTCAAAATAGGAGGTTCAGATGCCTGGGTGATCAGTAATCGATTGCTGAAAACAGAATTTGAAAATTCGAAACCGTTCTCGAGATAATCGTGGGACAGCCGGACAGACGGACAGACATCGTGAAATCAATAAGTGACTTCGCAAGCTTCGCCACTTAATAACTTACAACTGTGCTATAAAATCACGTATAACAAATTATTGCTAATACTAGAAAAAAATACTTACTGTTATCCGATCATGGAAAATAGCCCCTTAATGATTATGAAGGAAATAGACCGATTGGAAATTGCCCAAGCTCGCGAACTTTTCTCTGTGGAATTGTTTACCACCGGTGATTTTTCCGGACCGATACGACTTAGGGACTTTCAAGAAAAGAACTTACACCTTTCTGAAAGGCCGGCAACGCATCTACGATTCCCTTGGTCTTGCAGTTGTTCATGGGCGGCGGTAGTCACTTACCATCAGGTGAGCCGCATGCTCGTTTGCGCCCTCTTCTATAAAAAAAAAACTAGAACTAGACGAATTTTCTAAGCACATTTGCATAGATAATTTGGATCTCAACATAACTTCACACAGCATTTATTGTAACTTTAATGAATTTTTGCTAAATTTATCTTGTTTAAAAAACAACATTGACGTTATAGTTCTAAGTGAACGTAGAATAAACGCTAATAAATCTATTCCCCATATATGTAACTACACATCCTTTTCTACAAGAAATCACCTTAACCAATTTTAGGTTAAAAGCTTTTGTAAATTTAGTGTTAAAGAAGTAAAATTAATCCATGCTTCGGGCCTACAAATAAATAATATTGTTGTACTTGGAATTTATCGCTCACCCTCAGTAATGCAGAAAACTTTATCGCTTCTTTAAATAAGTGTTTGCATAACATCAAATCGTTTAAAAATATCATTATAACAGGAGATATTAATATAAATATAATACCTAAATGCAACGAACAAGCATTTGAATATAAAAACAGACTGAGTTACTTGAATATGCTTGCAATGCAAGGGTTACTTCCGGGTCACATGACTCTTACAAGGGGTAAAGCTTGTCTAGATCATTTTAATATAATAATAGATAGAAAGTTTAAATCTGTATCGATTGCTATATTAAGTACTACTATTACTGATCACGAAATGATATTTCTGAAGTTTATGAACGTGAGTGATACGAGCAAAGGCTCTAACACCAAAACGTTAATTTATTTTGAAATTGCTTGTGTTTTTGAAACATAACAATATATTAGATCTTTTATCATATTATGACCCCAACATTATAACTGAACTTCTAATAGATACATTAAGAAAATGCCTCCTAGATAACACTAAAATGACTTTGATTCCGCGTAATAACCGTATAATCAAACCTTGGATGTCTCCTTATATATTAAGGTGTATAAGAAATAAAAATAACATGTAAATAAAGATTAAGTGTGATCTTCATAACAAAATATTAAAATTAAAGTATCGAAGGTATAGAAATTATTGCAATAACTTAATTAAAAAACGAAAACGCAATTATGATCGTGAGCAATTATCTAAAGCTAATAACAACCCTTAAGCTATATGGAACGCAATAAATAAGATAACGTATCGTATATGTAATAAAACCCAAAATTGAAAGCTGTTAAATTTAAAAACTGACCCGTCTGTATCAGTAAATTATGCTAATAATTTTTTTGCAAATATTGGTAAAACCTTAGCTGACACTATTAAGTCGAATCGTACTTGGCAAGCGTCTACTATTATTGACAGACGAGCAACCTCTCATCCTACATCCTTTGTATTATTAGAAACTCACTCTCAGGAAGTATCATCATTACAACCCTTCACAAGTCCACTGTTGAACATATGCCTCCCCCAAAGAATGCCACAAAGCACTCTCGTAAAAGCGTAACTCTCAGGAAGTATACAGTATATTAATACATCTCAAATCCAATAGTGCTCCCAGATGGGAAAGCATATCGAGCGAATTATTTAAGATGGCACATGAGTTTGTTGTTCCAGTGATCTCCCACTTGGATAATCTGTGCTTTAATAAGGGAATATTTCCAGATGTCCTTAAAACAGTTATAACTCCCGTGTACAAGGATGGCGACAGGAATGACGTAGGTAGCTATCGACCCATTTCTGTTTTCTCCAAAATTCTTGAGAAGTTAATAAATGTGAGATTAATAAATTATCTTCACATATATAATATATTATCTAATTTTCAATATGGTTTCAGACAAGAACTTTCTACGGAATATGCAGTCTTGGAATTAACTTCTTTCGTTGTAAATGAAGTAGACAATAGGAAAAAATGCTCAACCGTATTTTTAGATCTTAAGGAAGCATTCGATACCGTTTCTGTTCCCCTCCTTGTACACAGGCTTGAGGATATGGGTATAAGGGGTAATCCCTTAGATTTATTTAAAAACTATCTTAAGGATCGCAAGCAGAAAGTAAAGATAGATGAATACTTAAGCGAGGAATCAGATATAACATTCAGAGTCCTACAGAGCAGTGTTCTGGGTCCTACGTTGTTATTAGTCTACATAAATAATCTAAATAATATGGACATTAACGAAGGCTACATAATCTCCTATGCAGATGATACTGCAGTAATATTTACTGGTGACTCTTGGAATTCTGTATGTAGTTCTGCTGAAGAAGGACTTGCAAGCATCGCCAAGTGGCTGAACTCTAACCTACTTACTTTAAATATTTTGAGAACCAGTTATGGAAGGTTTAGAAATTCTATTCGAACTCAACCTAACATCAATTTCCAAATTTAACTTCACACATTAAATGATCCCTTAAGTACTAGTTCCTGCTGTTTATTAATTAGTAAGGTCTCCGAGACCAAGTATCTAGGAGTCATAGTTGACCAACATTTGTCGTGGCATAGATAAATTTTAATCATGAATGTATTTAGGAAACTTACTTGAACATATAAAACACTAAGAAATATAACTACGAAAAATTTTCTTTATCAAATATATATTGCTTTGGCTCAATCTATTTCAATATATTGTATTCCTGTATGGGGTGGTACTACTATAATTAAATTTTTAGAAGTTGGGCACAGATACTTATATTTTATAGTTGGTACGGTACACAAGTTTCAACGTTCAAATATAATTTACCAAATCCATATATTAACATACACATACAAATTTCTGCGTATATGAAAATCTCCATTTTTATGTAAACGAAAATATTTAGAGAGATGAAATCGATCGATGCACTGTTCGCAATACGTATCTGTGATAAATTTTATCCAAATCAGACAGAAGTTAGTTTGAGAGAAGATAGGCAGCAACCAGCAACAATGTTCACAGCGGAGATTAATTAGCAGCTTAATGCTGTTGTGTTTCATATGGTGCTTGTAGAGAACCGAAGACCCTTTATCCTAGAAACGAGGTAAGAAAACCTATTTTGGGATATTTATAATGGCTGAATCGATTGTAATAAAACTTCACAAACAGATAGAGAGCAATATAGAGAGCTAGGCATATTTTATTCCAAAACTTGGAGAAATTAAAAAAAAAGAAAAATTGATATCTAGTCTTTGATTACTAGCTCAAACGTAAATAACGCCACATTACTAGATCCTACCCAGGCAAAGGCAGGGCGAATCCCTAATTCTATATAAAAAATAATAAGGGTACCCAAATCTGAAAAAATAATTTCTAGTCCATACAAATATTTCTTAAATGCTATCGAACTCCCCGGCCGCCAAGCGCTTGGCTACTGCGCTATAGCTACAGAGTCGACAGACACACATTTTGATTTGATTTTTTCTGACATTGGATGTAATAAAGAAATTTTAAGAATTGGCTGCTTAGGGTGTAAAATTCATAAAGTTATAATCATCGTTATTATAGCCTATCTAAAGTCAACTGATGAACATAGGCTTCCCCCAAGCAATGCCATAACGTAAGGCCCTGAGCCACCTGCATCCATCAACTTCCTGCATTTTTCAACGGCTCGTCACTCCATCTAGTGGGGGACCATCCTACAATTCGCTTACCACTCGAGGCTACCACTCGAAAACCTTTCTTCTCGCTCGTATATACAGCACATTACTACTTTAGTTTACGATTGTTGCTGTTGACGATATATGTTATGTTATTTTTAATTAAATTTAATATAATCTTTTACTTCTATTTTTTTATCGTATAAACATAAAATTCAACTTGGAAAAGGTCTTAAAAATAAATTTATGAATACTAAAACCATTCTACTATATGCAAGTTTCATGACAAAAGATATACGAGGAAATTTAATTCGAGTAAACGTCTGTCTCTGCGTACTATCCAGTTTACAGCTTGCGTTCTATAATTAGCACAACAATACAGGTTCTTGTCTGGAGCACTTGTTCTAATATGGCTAAATTACAGTTGTTAATAATATTAGTTCAAATAATCAAAACTTAAAAGTAAAGTTATATTCCTATACAGTGTGGTGTTTAAAGAAAGGTTACGAATGGCTCACTGAACGTCGTAACATGAACGTAGACTACATGCAGTAGAAAAAGTAAAGTTGTAGCCCATACACGTTCCACTGCTGGGCATAAGACTTATCTTATTTGTGAGAGGATCAATAAGCAGTAAGTGTCGGCGGACACGCCCTGGCAATATTGTATTCAAAAAAGCTTTTAAAAAATTTACTTCGCAAACATCCGCACTATAAAATAAAATGATGTGTCTTACCTAGTATGAAGAGCACCTCCCGCCCTCCCTCAATTGCGTGCACTATCCCCGTCACCACTAATCCCAGCACCGCTACTCCCAACATCACTACACTAGGCAAGACACACCACTGACGACAATACGACACGTGTTTCGCCGCTACACGAGGCATCGTCAGGTGATGTAGACTCTACGGTGGCTGACCGTAAAGTGAGCGGTGAGCCAAAACAACTGCCTTTTATACAGACCGCTGTTTTGGCTCAACAAAAACGAGTTTTTTTTTGGCAAACGAGTATACAGTCCACCTGATGGTAAGTGGTTGCTGCAGCCCATAGACATCTACATCTATCCTCGATTACGAATCAGAATGCAGATGCGTTGTCATCAGTGATTACCAAGATGGAATGCATCATTTCCATTAAAAAGGGTCTCCGGTTCTTTACACCCACCATGCGAAACACAGCAGCGTTAAGCTGCTATTTTACGCTGGTGTTCTGTGAAAGCGTGGTCCTTCCCCGATCGATCCGATTCATTCGGGCTACAATCATAATATAGCTGCAACGTAGGGTCTATCAAATAAATAAATAAATCTTTTCTTCTTACCTGTAACGACCTTGCTAATTCAGTGTCGTTGTAGCGCCTGGTTGCCTTACGCTCTGGTAGAATATATTTAGGCAAGGACTTGTAAAACCACGCGCCAGACTTCTTCCACATCTCCCTGGTCTCAGCACAGAGGTTGCACATGTACTGTTCTCTGGAATATATTGGCGACCTGATCCAAATATTTAATAAATGTTAATTTAATGATTTATTTTATGCAGGGCACATACATGCAATTCCTCCGACAAGTATGTACTTAAAATAACACGTTCTTCTTCGTCATCCCTTAAAAGTCCACTGTGGACTTCTTCTGTTTTAGGGAGGATATGCCTCGAAGGCAGCGTCTCGCTTACTTGACGCTGTTGTCCGTCGCCAGATGCTTAAATTAATTTAATATATTATTTCAAGCACTTTCATGGCGGACGACGGGCATAAAGAAAGAAGCCAGTGTACACTGACAAGGAAAATTCCTTGCAATACTACGAGCGTCTAATACTGCTGAAATATTCTACCGGCCCTCGATCGCTCAATTTTTCGAGTACGCAGTCGAAAAGTTGTTCATAGCGAGTTTATTATGAGCTTCATAATAGTAGGTTAAAATTTCATTTCATTATAAATTCCAATAAACATATTATAATGAAAGGATCTAGTAATATAATTATTACAGTAAAAATATGCATAATGGTAGATTGTTGAGCATACCGCGGAAACCTTTACTGAGTTCTTAGAAACCGCTTGAAACTTATTAGCCTTCAGCTAATACAGTGTCGAATTAACCACGTAGTAAAATTAGCAATTGTTACAGGTCCCGCGCAAAATGGGGCCCCGCGTGAAACCTATTATTAAGACATGGTATATTTAATTTTTAAACCTAACTTGTAACATTATACCTTTTTTGACAAAGACAATCCACGTCAGACAATTGGTAAACCATTATATCGTTGGCGAAAATAAACACAGAATTTAATTCGGTAAGTGCACAATTTTCAACCCCCGCCATGCCGAATGGTTCGGTTCTCGTACTATCGATCCAACCGGGAAGATCTGTTTACGACTTTGCCTTGGCATATGATCTGACGCAACTGGTCACTTCGCCCGCGCGAATTCCAGATGTGGAGGATCATATACTTTCCCTGTTGAACCTTCTGCAGACCTCTCATCCGGACGGCTATCGGGTCTCCGTCGATGCCTCTTTTGGCTCTTCGGATTACTGCGTGATCCGGAGTACAGTCTCCATCAGTTGCTCATTACAGGCACGATCGGGAGGCTGCCGCCATGTGTGGCACTATAGGTCCGCGGGTTGGGATTGGATGCGGGTTTTTTTTGGATCCTAGCCCTGGTGGTGGATTTCCTTCAAGCTGCATGATCCCAAAAAAATTTTAGCTGAGTCTGTCACCAATGTGGAACTTTTCATCCCGTCATCTATAGTGCCTATCGGCGGCAAATGCCATCCTTGATTTGGACGCTTATGCAAAATTGCGTCACGGCAAAAGCAGGAGTGTTACAAGGCCTGGGCTGACACATCGGTGCCGGGATGCAAACACGTTTTTACGTAGTAGAGCCATGCTGCATCTATATTATGGTTGTGTACTGCGAATGGGTCGGTTCGACCAGGGTAGGACCACGCTTTCACAGAATACTAGCGTAAAATAGCAGCTCAATGTTGCTGTGTTTTGTATGGTGAGCGTAGAGAACCGAAGACCTTTTTACTGGAAACGAGACTTTCCATTTTAGTCCTCAGGAGTGGCAACGCATCTACATTTTGATTCTTAATCAAGGATACATGTAGATGATAGATGTCTATGTGCCACAGCACTGCAGCAGCGAAGGCTTTCGATCGGGTTAGGCACAAAGCGCTTCCTTCGAAGCCTCCCTTTTATGGGCTTCCCGAGAAATTAAGCAATTGGGTCATTAGTTTTCTTACAGATCAGAGTATTAAGGTCGTAGTCAACAGTGCATGCTCCGACTTCAAGCCTGTGAATGGTAAGGCACGCAGACTTGTGATGCCAGTTCTGCTTTTTCCTACCATGTTCGTTTATCTCTGGGCCGGGGCTCCTCAGTATCAACTCCTTTCACTTGACCGTATCCAATGAAAAGCGGCCCCGATTCCGATCGACTTGATCAAGTAGCTTTGTTAACATACATTGCATTTATATGCATCTTCTACCGCATAGACTACAGGGAGTGCCCAGAGGAATTGTTCGGATTAATTCCAGCTACTGAATTTCAATACACTGCGATAAAACTCGAAATTCCATCCTCATCATCTCGATGGCTGGCGGTCAATTACAGTGCGATTTACGCGGAATTTTCTGCTTCACACGACCAAACTGTGCTATTTACTGTCACCAGCGGTTTATCCGGAACGATACGACAAACTTATACCCATAAAGGACATATCATATATTTATCTAAAACAACATGCGAGGAATTTATCAAATTAATTGCATCAAGCAAGAATTGCATCAAATTCATGAAATGGAAATACAAATAATGACAGTTACGTGGAATGGAATATTAGAACGCCTGCAAGCGACTAGTGCGTCACTACAATCGTCTAATATAGACATTAATACAGAATACCCTTTATGAATCATTCTATGTATATGTCCAAACAATGCGATCCACATTTTCAGATATTGAAGCAAAATCCAAAGATCTGACGGGCTGTCATGAATATCAGTAACAGATTTCAATACGTCGCAAGTGAAACACAAATTACCACCATTTTAGCGGTTCTAGTACAGACAGAGAGTTGGGTTTTCATCCATAAAAATTTCCATTAACTAAAGAGCTAAAACACAACGACCACAGACAGCGCCGTCTATTCGCTGATTTTGCTTTAGAGCATTTGGTGTCTGACCCTGCTTTTGAATAAAAAAAATCCAGTGAAGAGGCTCATTTCTGGTTGAGTGGCTTTGTTAACAAACAAAATTGAGATTCATCAGGTGTGTCTACACTCCGAAACTCGCTGTTTGGTGTGAATTTTGTCCGGCGGTATCATTGGCCCTTATTTTTCGAATATGCGCAAGGAGCCGCGCTCACTCTCAGTGGCTACCGATATAGGAAATGATAACAAATATTTTATGACTTAGGACAGATGGTATGGACCTCACAAACATGTGGTTCCAACAGGACGGCGCCTCTTGCACAAACTGCACGGGACACATTTATTGGATAATAAGTTCGAGGGCTTCGTCATCTCACGTAGTGGCGACTTCAACTGGCCACCGAGATCGTGTGAGTTAACACCGTCTTCTGTGGGGCTACGTGAAATTTTTGATCTATGCAGACAAACCACAGACAATTGTCACCCTGAAAGCCAACGTAACACGCGTTCTTCATGAAACTGAGCCCCATTTATGCGAAGATGTCATTCAAAATTGGTCCACCAGGTTACACCACCTATAGCGGAGCTGCAGCGGTCATTTGGCTTAAATTATACTTATAATTTTAATGTCAATTTGTAAGTAATATCCATAAGTATTAGGACAGTATTATAAAATATAGTATCAATGTGCTAGTTTTTGAAGTATGTTAAGAAAAAAAAAAATAGTTTTTTTTTTTTTTACTTAAATTAGCATTGTAAATGTTTTAAGATATTTGGTAGGGAAAACTTTCCATGATGTTTATTTTTATTTGATAGATGCTATTTTTACGTTTTAAATAACATTTTTTTGACATCTGTAGGACCTTTCTGTCCAGAGAAATCTGCATCTTTTGGCAGAGGTCCGACAGGAGGGGGTTAGACCCCCATATATGGGTGTTTTTGTCGATGAAATTAGGTATATTTTGTAACCTTCAATTATCGCTAGGTCGTGACCGGACACACTGTATATTTCATACATAATTTCATCGAATGTCCTTTAAAATAAAATAAAAATTGTGGCAATATCACTTGCACAGGTTGTTTTATTTCATTTCAAAGTTCGAGCGCTTTTAATGAAAATCCTGTAGAAACTCAAATATACGTATTGTGCACAGGACTGTTATTTCGATGAAATACAGTGTTTCTGCAATGTAAAATATTTATCCAATATTGCATGCATACCAAATAGTTTTGAAATAGAATGTTACATTGAATGTATCGCTTTTAACGTACATTTATGATCTCATGAATATTGAACGTTTAAGATTAGGTTTACAAAACAAAATTTTGACTGCAATTGAATTATAAATTCAGATTTGTGGCTTGAAAAATTGTCATGTTCATTACAACTGACAAGAATATAGAAGGAAAGGAAGGAAGATATTATGTATCTCTTGACGAGTAAAATTTAACCACAAATGTTTGAAATATTTTTTATAGGATAAGGGTGACTAAGGAGCACACAGTCCATCTGATAGTAAGTGGTTGCTGTGACAAATAGACATCTACATTTACCCTCGATTACGAATCAAAATGCAGATGTGTTGTCAACCGTGAGGACTAAGATGGAATGCCTTGTTTCCAGTGAAAAGGGTCTCCGGTTCTCTACATTCACCATGCGAAACAACAGCTATTTTATGTTGGTATTCTTTGAGAGTACTTCTCCGATCGAGTCGACCTATTCGTCCCATTAAAGCACGTATAAATATTATAATAATTTAAGTATCTGGCGAATGACAGCAACATCAAATGTGCGAGATGCTGCAATCTGCAATCCGTATGCCAAGGGTGACAATTATAATTAAGGGATATCTTCCCTAAAACGGAAGAGGCTCATGTCTACAATGGAATTTTAAGGGATGACGAAGAAGAAAATATTATTTTCAGTTCATGGTTGTCGGAGGAATCGCATGTATTAGGCCCGCATAGAAAAAAAAACTACTTGATTTCATAAAAGCTTTAACAAAAATTTACTTCGCAAATATCCGCGTTATAAAATAAAATGATGTGTCTTACCTAGTATGAAGAAGCACCTCCCGCCCTCCCTCAATTGCGTGCACTATCCCCGTCACCACTAATCCCAGCACCGCTACTTCCAACACCACTACACTAGGCAAGACACACCACTGACGAAAATACGACACGTGTTTCGCCTCTACACGAGGCATCCTCAGGTGATATAGACTCTACGGTGGCTAACCGCTAAGTGATTAATAAAGATATAACGCGGATATTTGCGAAGTAAATTTTTGTTAAAGCTTTTATATAACGAATTTCCGCAAAGTAACGCCTGATTCTATTAATTATACTTGATTTCAGTTAATAATGCACTTTAATTTAAATTGGCTTAAAATTTGTACAAATGTTATATAGAATGTGAATGTGAATGCTAAATAAGTACATCCATCCCTGATTATTGCAGTTTAGTCTCACACACGTCTACATAGACAGTACTGTCATTACATAAACTTTAAATTATAATGTCAATGTTGCAAACAAAAGTCATCCTCACTCTTGCCAGTAAGCAGCAAATAGGTCTTCCCCATAGATTGCCTCATAATGGGAAATTTTTCCATAGTTGCTACGTTTGGCAGGCGAGTTGGCAACTGCAGTTTTTTATTAGTTTAAGTTGTTATCAGTAAGATGCTACTGCCCATCTCCAGTTTTAGTTTCTTCCTGTCACCTCTTGCGCCAGCCACGAGATGATATGTGATAGATGGTTCGCTTACGCCACACTTACACGGCAATACAAGTAGTATGTACTTTTATTGCCGTGCAGCAACAGAAAATATATTTAACTCAGCATAAAACTGCTGCAAATAGCGGCAGCAGAGATGTTTAGTTGAACCCCACAGTATGACATATGTATGACAATTATAAATCATAAACTTTCTATGGTAGAACACAAACATTAACAAATTCACCTGTGTGGAGGCATTTCAATGACGCATTTAGGACAGGCAGTGTTGCGACAAATTGAGCAAGTTCTCAAGGGAGCTAGGAGTCTTGATGTTTCTCCGCAAAGTAGGCAGGATCGAGGGGCTGGACCTTGTGCTGAACGGCGCATTCCTAAGAAATTATAATATGTTCTTTTTTTAAATTCAAATTATTCTGCCTGCTGAGATACTATATTAGGGGTGGGAATGCTACTGTGAACTTCTCTGTTTAGAGTGGGTTGTATCAAGTAGACTGTTTTCTCGTTTAGAACTCCAAAATCATGATATAATAACAAAATATTTGTATTCCCTTCTTATCTTAAAGTTAAAACTTCTAAATGATGTTGAAAAATGTAAAATTTAATTTTCAAAAAAAAATCGAAATGAATTAAACTCATTTGTAAAAAAACGGGATGAAAAAAATACAATACAAAATAGGTTTTAATCGTTTGAACAGTTTACTGGGTGGTTAAAAAAGTGCCGAGGTGTATGACTGTACTATTTTTTCTTGGGACTGGTTTTAAAATAAATAACAACTTTTTACTACTTTTTACGGCGCGAACTACAGTTAATCATAAACCATAAACAATAATAATAAGCACTCACGCCTGTCACCCAGAGGGGTAGGCAGAGACTATGGACTTCCATTTAGCACGATCCTGACACATCTCTCTTACCTCCCTTACATCCATATACCTACGTTTACATACTCCATCGTTTGAGGGTACATTTAATCTGGCCCATCATCCATATATCACCAATTTGTTCGATAAACTTTCGCCTAGGCGTCCATTCCCAATTCTGCCGTTCACTTCTAAAACATAAATTTGCTTTCTCACTATTTCCTCGTTCATTCTTTCTGCATGACCAAACCACCGAAGCATTCCGTTGTTAATCCTGGTCACAACATCATCATGCAAACCTTTTTTCTTATCACACAATTTCTCACCCTGTAATTCAGAATCAGTCCTAACATAATCCTTAATGACCGCATTTCTAAAGCATTTATGCTACTCTCGTGCTTCTTCTGCCACAGTCAATTCGCCACTATACATTAAAGTAGAAACTAACACAGCATTGCAATTTGCCACACGTGCCTTTTTGACACATTCTGGCTTCCCAAAATAGAGTGAAGAGCCCCATTTACTCTATGCCCTCCGTTAAATCGTCGTTCTATATTCTCATAAAATCTACCATCTCTGCTAAATATACATCCCAAGCAAACAAACTCATCTACTTGCTCAACCAACTCCCCTTCCATTCTTATATCATATATTGTTTTATTTTCTTCTCTTTCAAAAACGAAAGTGACGTTTTACTTGCATTCACTATCATTCCCCTTTCTGTTAATGACATGTTCATTAATGTAACCGTCATTTGCAATTCGGCCGCTGACGGTGTAACTAATATCGACTAGTTGATATTAACCGAAAATTAATATCGACTCTAAATAACTATTAGTACATTTTTATTGAATTATCTCATTTGACATTTTAAACCATTGTTATTGTTGCTTAGCGGTCTCGAAAATGGTAGATGAAGTGATAAAAGCCATCAAAATGATTATTCTGCTTGAGGAGATTTGCAGTCAATGCTTCGCAAATCTTCGTGTGCGGACCTCAAGAACAACTTCGAAGAAGTAAGACATATGCAAATTGGTTTATCGTCAGGAGGAGGCTTCTAGTGCCAATAAATGCAGATACCGCCAGCCCGTGGTCCTAAATTACTTCACGAGCACCCAGTTGTCAGGCTTAGCTTAGTTTTAAATTGTGTGTCATGCACTAAAGAACACTGGGAAAGGGTGTAAATAATGAAGCCAGGATAGCTGTGTAAGGTAAAAGCCAACCTCGGCGAGTGTTAAGAAGAGGAGAAGAACGCTTTTTAGAGGCATATTTTTAAGAAGTTACACCTTATGGTGGGGGCTGTGTTATGTTTTGAACAGGAATAAATTCATAGAACCGTACGGAGTTAGTCTTCATCGAAAATAGCACACTGGCTAGACACCGATACATAACGGAAGTTCTAATTCCTCATACACAACCCGTATTGGCCGCTCTTGGCGTAAACTTGATTTTTATGGACGACAATCCTCGCGCCAACCGGTCTGGAGATGTGCATGCGTATATACTAGAGGTTGGAATTCGTCACTTGGATTGGCCAGTTCGAAGCCCCGAGTGAAATCCAATAGAGGACGTCTGGGATGTTCTGAAGCGACGAGTGAGATTAGTGCAGCCGGCTTCGCAGACCATGAGTGAGCTCAAGAATGTGATTACCGCGGAGTGAAAACGTATTTCGGAAGAAACCATAAGAGATATACTCTTCAGCAATAGGGGTCACACTCCATACACAACTTTTATCTGCTTTTACTTATTAAAGAAAAAACAAACAAAAAACGTCTTTTATTTTCACTTAGGTAGCCGATACACTCTAGCGCTTTAAACTTTAACACTATTTTAATTAAATCAATCAAAATGTTATGATAAAACTGGTGGCAACTATTCTTTGCTAATTAATTTATAAAATTCTGAGTACAAAACTAAAATCTAAAATTATCAAACAATCTAATCTAATAGTAACAATAAAACTGGTTTATTGCTTATATTTGGAATAGAGGTTTTTTTTTATAGGATAATGGTGACAAACGAGCACACAGTCCACCTGATGGTAAGTGGATGCTGCGGCCCATAGATATCTACATCTATCCTCTGTTACAAATCAAAATGTAGTTGCGTTGTCACCCGTGAGGACTAAGATGGAATGCCTCATTTCCAGTAAAAAGGGCCTCCGGCCACCTGCACTCACCAAGCGAAACGCAGAGGTAAACCTCTACTTCACGCTAGTTTTCTGGGAGGTCGTGGTACCACCCCGGTTTGAGCCGGCCGATCCGTGCGACAGCAAAAGCTGCCGCGTGGCTCTACCACTGTTTTACAATTTTACAACAAGTTTATACTAGTGGAACCCCTGTAAGGGTTAATGCATAAGAATTAAGGTACAAGATATTTTAATTTTAAGCATTTTGCGACTTAAGATTTTCACGTATGAGCGTCCTTATGAGTGTCCGCAAACCTACGCTTCGGAGGCGCGGCGATCGGATAACTCATTATGTACATTGATTCGTGTATAGGGATAACGTAGTAAAGATCTGGCGCACAGTCACGAACTGTTATTAAGTCCGGTGAAATTGTAAAAGCTAACTGACTAACAGCACTGACATCACAGAAAATAGACGAAGAAAATAAGCCGCATTCGATATTTAAATTGTACATTGTAATGGTTTTTGTGGTTTTCAGTACAATGTTAAATGGAATGCAGTCCCACAAGAGCGGTTACTGCCGTTGTAAAAATTGTAATAAAATCTAAGCTTTGATTGCGAAAAAATAATAAATATTTTATAGGAGTTGATGTAAGTAATGTTCAATTCGGTCGTGTAAGTACATATCCTTTGCTAATAATATTAAGGGGTTTCGAATCGAATGTAAAACAAATATATTCTAATTATCTAAAGTTATATTGTAAGTCTAAAGGTATGTTTCATATGTATATAGAAATATGGATTAGTATACCCTCAAGTCTGGCAACTATTCGTCCAACTCGTCTCGCCTCGACCTCGTCTACCTTTTCAGCTCTCTTGACGACAGCGGCGATGGCCTCGCGCTCCGTCGCGGTCAGCGGGGGCTCGCTGCGGGCAGTACTCCATCCCGTACGCAGCCTGCTTTGAACATAGCCTTATTATTCAATAATCTACTTAAACACACTTTATGATATTATTCAAAAACGTTTTACTGAAAAATGTAATTTATTTGGTCTACTTTTATTTACTTTTGCACTCTATAGAATACAACAGATTAGAATAAAAATTATCGTGTAATTATTTTAAACGTCTTTGCTTTTACCACATTTACACACGTTAATACCATGAGAATTTCCCAGCATTCCTCATCGAATCTTACAAGTCTCGCAGAACGATTTTTGTGTGATGGGTTCTCTCACATCGCCACCGAAATTCCGAATCTTCCAAAAAAGTTCTTTAAATTAGTAGCCAAGTTGTTTCAACAAACAAACAAAGCTCTATCTTTAAAACAGCCATTAGAGACGTAATTGGTTAGTATTCTTGACATTTAACCTTTAGAAATTCACTTACAAAAATTTTACCGGGAAAAGTCGTTATTGTGCAATTGAACAATTGAAAGCTTGAATGGATTACACCCTTTCAACTCTCCTTTTAGTCTAAAAGTTTACGTCGTGTGATGTGCGGAATAAGAAAGAGTGGAAGTCATACCGGTTTGTATCTTTCTAGAATAGACATTTGTGTTCAAGCAGTTTATCATATCACCAATTATTATATACATATATTCTGAAACAGTACTAGATTTAAACACTTAATTTTGAAAAAAATAACATACCTCACTTCTATAGATGAAGATATTTCATTTCAAGAAAAAAAAAACGGGAAAATTGATTGTAAAACTACACACAAGCTACAAGGGGTAAACTTTTTTATTCTCGTAAGTTTTATCCATTTTATTGCGGCGTCTATTTATTTAACGGGAATACTTTAAAATAAAGGGCGTATTAAGCGGATTTAATACCTCGAAGCATTCACTAGTTGGAAGAGTAAAACAAAAATACTAACGGGTGCGAAATTTTATGACTTTTTAGCTAGCTATTATCACTTGGTTACGTCTGCTCAGAGTGGAATAATACATGTTTAAAACATATTTAACAATATCTTCTGGTGTTAATCCTTTAAAAATAGATATATATTCAACATCGGGAATTTAAGAAGAAAATTTGAGGGTTTGCTAAAGTTGTAACTATGCAGCAAGGGAAAGTCAATTCAATTCAATTCAATTTATTTGCTATTCTTGTTGTACATTTGGTCTTATATTTTAAAAAAAAATGTTCAAAACAAGAACCCTGCAAGGGCACTGCAAATATAGGCAATTATTAATATTATTATTACATTGACATTATAGTATTATAAAATTATCATTTAGTGAATATTTACAATTAACTTAAATATAAATTGGATCATATTATATTGTATATTTGTTTCAATTTCCTATTTCCTACTCAATCACTAAAAAACTCCTGCAACGAGTAATAACATTTTTTCGTTAAATATGTATTAACTTCCTTTTTAAATTTTTTAATGCTTTTAATGCTTCTGATTTGTTCTGGAATTTTGTTATATATTTTTATTGACATGGCATAGGGACCGGTGTTTACGATTTGTAATTTTGATGTAACTGTGGATAACTTTATTTTTGGTCTTAAATTTTTAGGGCGAAAATATTGAGGGAACTAGTCGATATTATTTCTAACTAGTGAGCATATTTCGGATATATATAATAGGGATGTTAATGTCAGGATATTATAACTAATAAAGTAATTTCTACAACTTGTTATCGAGTCAATATTTGCAAGTATGCGAATACATTTTTTCTGAATTAGAAATACTTTGTTAGCGTCTGTGTAGTTACCCTAAAGTACCACACCGTAGCGTATCCAGGCGTCTGCGTACGCGTAGTAGGCACAGGTTGCTGTTTTTAAGTCGGTAGTTTTTTTAAGTTCTATAAGAGCGTATGTAAAACTAGATAATTTTTTGACAATTTTATTAATGTGTTCCTTTCAACTTAAATGTGCATCTATATTTATACCCAGGAGACAGTGAGAGTTAACAGATTCTAAGGAAATATTTAGGTATTGGTAGTTGATATGTAAGGGGCGTTTTTGGTATGGTCTAAATTGCAAAAGTTTAGTCTTTTTGAAATTAATCTCGAGGTTGTGATATTGGAGCCAGCAATTTATTACATTTAAATTAGAGGTTAGGAGATGGTACAAATCTGTGCTATTGGGACAGGGGAGAATTAATGAAATATCATCAGCAAAAAGAACACAGGGGATATTACATATATTCGGATGGTCATTCACTTAAAAACAGCAAACAGCCCAGCACGCTACCCTGGGGTATTGAGTGTTTTAAGAAAATATTTTAGACCTTACAGTCTCAACAATTCTGGTTTGTGGGTCTCTGTAGCCTATATCTACATACTGGACGCGTTGATTAAGGTAAGATACAAACCATTCGTAGGCCAGACCTCTCACACCCACATTATAAAGTTTATTTAATAGGATCGAGTGAGAAACCCTATCGTATGCCTTGCTCATATCTAAGAATATACCAATAGCGTGTTGTTTCTTGTCAATTATCTTTAATACTTCCATTATGTATTTATATACTGCGAGTGCTGTAGAGGACCCTTTCGAAAGCCATATTGTCCGTCATTTAATATATTATATTTTTCACAAAAGGTATAGAGTCTGTTATACATGACTGTCTCAAATATTTTGGAAAATGTTGAGAGAAGAGCTATTGGACGGCAATTTTCGGGGTCGTCTATTTTGTGTAGCGGTTTGACTATTGCTATTTTTATTAAGTCTGGGACAATTCCTTGCGACAGTGATTGGTTAATAAGAAGGGAAAGTGGTGAGGCAAGTTCATCGGCACAAGTCTTTATTAAGGTTGGTGGTATTTCATCAAATCCTTTTATTTTTTAGGTTTTTTATGATATTAAATACTTCTATTGGGTTAGTTGGCTCGATAAATATAGAGTTATTGATAAAAAACAATAAAAATCTTTACGTGGTAGGTTTTTGCTATTTATTTTCTGTACTCTTCTGGTTGAGATTCATACATTATGCTTATATAATATTCTACTAAAATGAAAAATATTATTTTCGGCCTCAGGTCCATAGATAATATACAATTTTTATTACATTTTCTTATCACATGCGAGCACAGGGCCCACCTGATGGTAAGTGGATGCTGTGGCCCATAGACATCTACATCTATCCTCGATTACGAATGCGTTGTCACCCCTGAGGACTAAGATGGAATGCCTCGTATCGAGTAAAAAAGGGTCTTCAGTTCTCTACACTCGCCATACGAAACACAGTAGCATAAAGGTGCTATTTGACGGTGGTATTCTGTGAGAGCGTGGTCTATCCCTGGTCGAGCCGACCCATTTGTGCTACAACCATATCAAAGCTGCAGCGTGGTTTTACCACTTAAAATACATATAAACAACAATTTTATCTTACATGATACGTTATATATTATATAATAATCGATTCAGTTTCTAATATCTAACACAATATTAATAAAAATAAATATTATTCTTTCGGTTTGTCAGAGAACTCTTACTAGTTCGTTAAATTCTGTAAAAAATTAAAATTATATGCATTCTTTCTATTTTTTTTTTATAGAATTAGGGTGACTAACGAGCACACAGTCCACCTGATGGTAAGTGGTTGCTGTGGCCCATAGACATCTACATCTATCTTCGTTTGCGAATTAAAATGCAGATGCGTTGTTAGCCGTGAGGACTAAGATAGAATGCCTCTTATCGGTTCTCTACACTCACCATACGAAACACAGCAGCATTAAGCTGCTATTTTAGGTTGGTATTCTGTGAGGGCGTGGTCCTTCCCCGGTCGAGCCTACCCATTCGTGCTACAACTATACTATTAATATAGCTGTAGCATTGACAGTAACAAAATTACAAAAAATGAAAACTAAACGCAGATATCGCAATACTATTTTTCTATAGGCACTGTTTGATAAAAAAGTGACACAAACAGCAATATTTAATCACACTTTTGTTTCATGAAATTAATGTAACAGGTCATGCAGTTTTTCCTACACGTGATCATATCGGTTACCGTCATGTTATTAGCGCAACCGATTATCTTTACCACATACGATATCATTTTTAATCAATACCCGGCTTGAACAATCTGCATACCTATAAATAGAAATGGCGGATGACATTTTTAAAGCACTGGGAGTAAGGAGTAACGACTATTTAAGGATGCTCGATCACTTTTTAAGTTAAGTCTTTATAAGTCTGGATTTTAAAAGCACCACAGTTGGGCCGTAATATACATTATAAGCAAAAGTTGTTATAAAATTTGTGTACTTATTTTTTTTTCACAGAATTTTATTTATAATATAAACAGTTCTGAAACTACTTTTATATATATTTGGAAATTTTGGATACATCATGAACTAGCGATTCCTGCCGGCTTAACCTAGATAGGATCTATTTATGGAGCGTCATTTAATTTTTTTTTAAGTAACTACCCATTTATTTTATGAATTTTTCGATTCCAGGTAATACTACATCAAGTTTTTCAGAAGAAATATGGCCTTGATCACTTCTGGTATTGCTCTCTATCTGTTCTTTTTTTTATAGTATAGGGTGATAAACGAGCACACGGTCCACTTGATGGCAAGTGGTAGCAGTGGCTCATAGACATCTACATTTATACTCGTTTGCGAATCAAAATGCAGATGCGATGCCACCCGTGAGGACTAAGATGGAATGCCTCGCTTCCTGTAAAAAGAGTCTCCGGTTCTCTACACTCACCATACGAAACACAGCAGTATTAAGCTGCTATTTGACGCTAGTATTCTGTGAGGATGTGGTCCTTCCCCGGTCAAGCCCACCCATTCGTGCTATAACTATACTACTAATATAGCTGCAGCATGGCTCTACCACGTAACAAAAGATGTTCGTGAAGGTTCAGCCATTCCGAAAATTCGCCCGGACAGACAGACATATAGACAAAAATTTGATAATACCTTATGAGTTCGTTAAATGGCAATTATTTCGATAGGTATTACATACAGACACTTCAATCTCA